CCCCTCTTTTTCTTCCTCCTCTTCCTGCCGTCCCCCCTCAGCCTCTTGCCCTCTTCTTTGCCCTCCCGCCGCTGAGCCAGCACGCTCACTCGCCCGCCTCCCCCCCATTTCCCCTCTTCCTCCTCCTCTTCCTCCTGCCTCCGCCCGCCCAGGCTCTTCCTTTTGGGGTATCGTCTTATATGGCCGGTCACCTTGTAGGCCGGCAAATACGGTAATGCTCTTGGTAATTTTGGACTGTTGATTTTCACTGAAATCATGCATTGAGCAACGGTAACTAACAAATGGAATTAATAGCACAAGACATATTTGTTGGCTCAGATCTGAGATAGAGATCCAAGGAATAAGTGATAAATTGAAAACTGGGTTACAAAAAATAATTTGATGAGCAGGTCTCGTAGGGTTACTATAGTATGTTGTGCCTGCTAATACCACCACCTAGTGTTAGAAAGAGAATGGTGCCCAATTCAGTCTTGGAGATTTAGGACTGTATTAGTTTGTTTGTATCAATGAGAATTTTTAACAGATTTGCAAGGAGGATGTCAAACACTTCCATTTTAACTTAAAATATTTCACTAGAAGTGATCTCATCAGCTTTGTATTTTATTAATTTGGGCTGGGAAGCAGAGATCAAGCAACCATGTTAATTTTAACTGAAACTAAGCCTGCACTGAAGGGTTTGGAAATAATTATGTTTAGTGCTCTGCTTGCTTAGTGCTCAGCAAGTGGCAGGGGGCTAGCTTGCTCGTTGTTCTACGTTTTTCCCATTTTGAACCCAAGTAGGTCAAAACACCAGGGCCAACCATTTCAAAACAGAATACACAGATTTGGGCTGTGATGCCCAATACCCTTGATTTGATGATCTGACAGCTGATTCCTTCCTCAACCTTATAGGCAGCACTCACTCAATTTGTTGTTGTTGTTTGAGTCTGGGAAAGACTGCATCAGCGAAGCAACTTGAATATTTGGCCCAGTCTGATACATTGCTGTATGTTCACCCTGGGAGGGAAGGCCTGAGTAGTCATGTGTCTCATTGCTACACACGAGGGGACAGGATCATGGTGAAGATCTTGACCCAAATGGACTATCTGTGTTTAAATTTCCTAACACTCTCCCCAGCATGATGAACAAGTAATTCCATATTGTGGAACTGTAAGGTGAATATATACTACTAGAATTCCTTTTTATGAGTTACAGCTTTTTAAGGTTATCCTGTCTGTCATTTAGACTGCTTTGTAGTAGGGTGATGTCAGTAAAATATAACCAAAGGTAATTAACCTATTGAGAGAAATAAACATATACTTCATCATAAACTCCTTAATTATATTTGCACATTTAAATGCCACATAATTTTCATTTAAAAAATAGCTTGAAATCAGAAATAGATTGTTAGTGAATTCAGTTCCATCAGGACCTATTAAAAAGTATATTCCATTTGACTACCTTAATACTGTTGCATCGACAGTCATGCTTCTGATGGCTAATCTGAAATGAAGAAACTTCATGTTTTAGTTGTGCTTGCTCTAACTTATCTGCAGGGGCAGTGCAGAGGAGGTGTGTCTGTCTAATATGATAAGCTGAATATATTACACATCTGATTGTTTTTTTTCTTTTGTAGCCATGCCAATCTGTGCCTAAACATCTAACAGTGGAAGAATTATTTGGAACTTCGTTACCAAAGGAACACTCAACAGTTCCGTATTTGACTCCAGAGCGAACAGACAAAACTGACACTTCATGCAGAGACCAGAGTTTGCTTTTACCTTTTTCATTTGAGCAGTCAGCGGTGATTAATCAGCCTCTAGGGAAAGTGGATGGGATAAGCTTCAAAATTAATTCATGTACGTTATTGACACAAGATTGTGTGCCACCCTTGGTAATTGCCTCACCTTCTGAAGCAAACAAGGTTTCAAGTTACACTGCACAGTTAAGCCCTGTCCTTAATTCAGCTGCAGCAACCGAAACTCCTTGTGTGCAAATGCTTCAGAATATGAGTGGCAGCAGTAACATGATGCAGGTTATGCAGCAGGCATCCAAGCAAATGTCTCCTCTTTTGAATCAGTCATCATCTGATATGAACCATGGTGCATCAACTAAGACTCCTGCTCAAAATCAGTTCTTAACACCTTTGTCTGTGACAAATACTGGAGACTCTTCAAACATGCCACTTCCAAATACGGATCTTCTTCAAAAACTCAGGTTGACCCCTCAACATGACCAAATGCAGCAGCTCCTTAACAAAACCCCTGCGGCAGCAAACGCTTCGTCTGCCACTGCCGCCATTAGCCAGCTGGCAACACCAGATTGTTTCAAGGAATCCCACATGAAGCAACAGGTTCTGGGTGGGAAAAAGATTCCACCTGTTCAGGTAATTTGTTGGGTCATGTATTTGAGTTCCTTTGAAGAACAGGTCATTAAACAATAGTCTGCTTGTTGAAGCTCTTGCAGGCAGGGATTCCCATGTTCCATTTTGAGTCTGAAAGAACCAATACCATTTCTGTCTTAATGTTGCATGAATGAGGCATTTCTCTGGATACCAGCCTTGGACAGGATGTTATACCATCATGTTTTTAGTGATGCATCTGTGATCTTAATATGGTTCTGGGCTGGCCAAGTACTATAATTTCAGTGTGGTTGGACTTACATTGTTTGTATTCAAAACAATGACTATCAGAAAACTATGGACAGCAAAGATAATAAAATCTTATAATTGGTTGTTACTAGGGATGGGGGTATTCGTATACGAATACAAATATCCCCCCCAGGTGGAAATAACGAGGGTCCGGCCCCATAAGGCCAGACAGTCCACTCACCGTTCGCCTGCTGACATGGGGGCGCAGCCTCTTCCTATTGTGCTGTGCTCTGCAATGGATTAGCCACTCCTGGCTGGAGGCAAGATAACAAGCCTCTCTGCCAGGTCGCAGAGTGTCTAATCCATTGTGGAGCACAGCGCGATAGGAAGACGTTGCTGTGCCCGCAGTAGCGAGTGAACAGTGAGTGGACTGTCTGGCCCCATGGGGCCAGACCCTCGTTATTTCCACCTGCAGGGAGACATTCGTATATGAATGTCCCTATCTCTAGTTGTAACAATATTACTAATGTGAAAAAATGGTAGTTGAGTTAGAGAGATGGCTCAAATCAGCTTTGAGACTGTATCAGCTTGATTGGATTGTATTTCTTTATCTATCTGAATCTGCACAACTTCCTACATTCAGAAAATGGACAGGTTTTCAAGTAGGCAGGTGCTGAATGCAAGTTCATGGCATAAGATTGCTTCTGAGTTATGGCAGCCCTGTAAACAAATAATGTCCTAAAGATCAGTGCTGTCTTGTAGAATAAATGCCATGGTTTCCTTTGTGAAATCAATCTCTCCCATATAGATAGTTCTCTTTTCCTACTGCCTTATAGTTTTTATAGCAGTATTGTCTTTTGTCTTCTCATGATATGTCCAAAGCCAGTGGCTTCAGTTTTGGCATTCTCCCTACTGCCTTATAGTTTTTATAGCAGTATTGTCTTTTGTCTTCTCATGATATGTCCAAAGCACAGTGGCTTCAGTTTTGGCATTCTTGTTTCTAGTGAGGAATCAAACTTGATTTGATCTAGCATCTACTGTTTGTCATCTTGATAGTCCATGATATCCATAAAGCTTTCTTTCACCACCAGATTTCAGTTGAACCACCTATTTCTTCTTCATGGCCTCTGTGAATCACACCCTGGGTGATTTGTGCCTGTGTGGAGCCTTATCGGAAGATTCTAGAGCTTCTGTGGTAGCAATGAACACATTAGACTATGCCCCTCCCCACCCGTATAAGTACCTTGGCGCCAAGGCCCCCTTTCAGTTTCTGTCAACTGCTACATTGAGAGCCTCATAATTCTGCTTCTGTGAATAAAAAAGAGAGTATATTCTTGATTCCTTCCTGTTATCAATCTTTTTCTTCAAGCTATTGGATTAAATTCAATATCAGAGGGTTTTTTTTTCATTCCCCTCGCTTGTTCTCCGGCTGCAGCACCTACACCCCCCCTTCAATCATCAGTTTTTCTCCTCAGTTATTTCTCGTATTCATGGCCCTTTTGGGCCCATTAAAGCACTGCATTGTCTGTGATAATAAGATCCCACTTTCCGACGGACACGCTAAGTGCCTTTTCTGTTTGGGAGAACAACATCAAACTTGCTCCTGTACCCATTTCAAAAATTTTAAGTGTGGAGTTCTTCGATCTCGCCTCTCGAGGCTAAAACTCCAACTCTGGGAACAGTCCTTACAACCAGTTCAAATGGCCCAACCTCCCTGTAGGGCCACTTCTCAAACCAAAGTACAGTGGTGCCTCGCTTAACGACGTTAATTCATTCCAGCGAAATCGTCGTAAAGTGAAATAAAAAAGCCCATTGAAATGCATTGGAAACCATTCAGTGCGTTCCAGTGGGCTGAAAACTCACTATCCAGCGAAGATCCTCCATAGTGGCGGCCATTTTCGGTGCCTGTAGAGCGAGGAATCTGTCCAAAAACA